GGCAGTATATGCTGGGACTTGTATTTCCACAAAAAACAGCCTCTCTCACCCAGTGCCTCTCTGGCTGCTGTCATATGATAAGACTCAACATGTTTTGAGATCCAGATTATATATGAATGGCAGGGGGTTCCAAGGCATCTTGGGCCTTGAAGTTACCTGTTAGATAGATCTGCTCTAAAACGATATACAGCTAGCATGCCAAACAGAAAATATGCCACATCAAAGTAGATTTATTATGGTTTTAAGTGTCTGTGTCAAGTTAAAGACACATACTAATTTAAAGAAGGGAAAAGAGCATGCATTGCAAGGAATACATAATTGCACTGGGTTATGCATGCTCATCCATAAAGCTATGTAGCAAATCATACACTGATCATACACTGATGTTTAAAGCATACAGTGAGATCTCTGCTCGCAGTTTGCTTTGAATCTTGAAATAATGCTCATTCTGTGCCTTCTGTTCCTAAAGAATGCATATGCCAATATTCTACCTTAAACCCAATTTCTCACAAAGGAATGAAATACGCATGTGCTAAGCAAAGCAGAACATCAAAGTAACTTGTATTTTTGGAGCAAAAAAAGTGTTTTACTCTCCAACATCCAAACATTCACTATATTGCCAAAAGTATTGGAACACCCCTCCAAATCATTGGATTAAGGTGTTCCAATCACCTCAAGTGTATAAAATGAAGCACCTGGGCATGCAGACTGCTTCTACAAACATTTGTGAAAGAATGGGTCGCTCTCAGGAGCTCAGTGAATTCAAGCGTGGTACCGTGATAGGTTGTCATAGGTTGTGCAATAAGTCCATCCATGAAATTTCCTTGCTACTAAATATTCCACGATCAACTGTAAATGGCATTATAACAAAGTGGAAGCAACTGGTAACAACAGAAACTCGGCCACGAAGTGGTAGACCACGTATAATGTCAGCGCATGCTGAAGCGCACAGTGCATAGAAGTCACCAACTGTCTGTAGTCACTAGCCAAAGACTTTGTGCTGCCATCGGATTAGCACAATAACAGTGCATAGAGAGCTTCATGGAATGGGTTTCCATGGCCGGGTAGCTGCATCCAAGCCTTACATCACCAAGTGTAATACAAAGCGTCAGATTCAGTGGTGTAAAGCACACCGCCACTGGATTCTAGAGCAGTGGAGACATGTTCTCTGGAGTGACAAATCATACTTTTCTGTCTGGCAATCCCATGGACATGTCTGGGTTTCATAGTTGCCAGGAGAACAGTACTTGCCTGACTGCATTGTGCCAAGTGTAAAGTTTGGTGGAGGGGGGATTATGGTGTGGGGTTGTTTTTCAGAGGTTGGGCTTGGCCCCTTAGTTCCAGTGAAGGGAACTCCTAAGGCGTCAGCATGCCAAGACATTTTGGACAATTTCATGCTCCCAACTTTGTGGGAACAGTTTGGGGATGACCCCTTCCTGTTCCATCATGACTGCGCACCAGTGCACAAAGCAAGGTCCATAAAGACATGGATGAGTGAGTTTGGGGTGGAGGAACTTGACTGGCCTGCACAGAGTCCTGACCTCAACCTGATAGAACACCTTTGGGATGAATTAGAGTGGAGACTGCAAGCTAGGCCTTTTCGTCTGACATCAATGCCTGACCTCACAAATGCGCTTCAGGAAGAATGGTCAAATATTCCCATAGACACACTCCCTAAACCTTGTGGACAGCCTTCCCAGAAGAGTTGAAGCTGTTATAACTGCAAAGGGTGGCCCAATTCAATATTGAACCCTACGGACTCAGACTGGGATGCCATTACAGTTCATGCGTGAGTAAAGACAGGCGTCCCAATACTTTTGGCAATATAGTGTACAGTCAGGTCCATAAATATTGGGACATCAACACAATTCTAACATTTTTGGCTCTATACACCACCACAATGGATTTGAAATGAAACAAACAAGATGTGCTTTAACTGCAGACTGTCAGCTTTAATTTGAGGGTATTTACATCCAAATCAGGTGAACGGTGTAGGAATTACAATAGTTTGCATATGTGCCTCCCACTTGTTACGGGACCAAAAGTAATGGGACAATTGGCTTCTCAGCTGTTCCATGGTCAGGTGTGTGTTATTCCCTCATTATCCCAATTACAATGAGCAGATAAAAGGTCCAGAGTTCATTTCAAGTGTGCTATTTGCATTTGGAATCTGTTGCTGTCAACTCTCAAGATGAGATCCAAAGAGCTGTCACTATCAGTGAAGCAAGCCATCATTAGGCTGAAAAAACAAAACAAACCCATCAGAGAGATAGCAAAAACATTAGGCGTGGCCAAAACAACTGTTTGGAACATTCTTAAAAAGAAGGAACGCACCGGTGAGCTCAGCAACACCAAAAGACCCGGAAGACCATGGAAAACAACTGTGGTGGATGACCGAACAATTCTTTCCCTGGTGAAGAAAACACCCTTCACAACAGTTGGCCAGATCAAGAACACTCTCCAGGAGGTAGGTGTATGTGTGTCAAAGTCAACAATCAAGAGAAGACTTCACCAGAGTGAATACAGAGGGTTTACCACAAGATGTAAACCATTGGTGAGCCTCAAAAACAGGAAGCCCAGATTAGAGTTTGCCAAACGACATCTAAAAAAGCCTTCACAGTTCTGGAACAACATCCTATGGACAGATGAGACCAGATCACTTGTACCAGAGTGATGGGAAGAGAAGAGTATGGAGAAGGAAAGGAACTGCTCATGATCCTAAGCATACCACATCATCAGTGAAGCATGGTGGTGGTAGTGTCATGGCGTGGGCATGTATGGCTGCCAATGGAACTGGTTCTCTTGTATTTATTGATGATGTGACTGCTGACAAAAGCAGCAGGATGAATTCTGAAGTGTTTCGGGCAATATTATCTGCTCATATTCAGCCAAATGCTTCAGAACTCATTGGACGCCGCTTCACAGTGCAGATGGACAATGATCCAAAGCATACTGCAAAAGCAACCAAAGAGTTTTTTAAGGGAAAGAAGTGGAATGGTATGCAATGGCCAAGTCAATCACCTAACCTGAATCCGATTGAGCATGCATTTCACTTGCTGAAGACACAACTGAAGGGAAAATGCCCAAAGAACAAGCAGGAACTGAAGACAGTTGCAGTAGAGGCCTGGCAGAGCATCACCAGGGATGAAACCCAGCGTCTGGTGATGTCTATGCGTTCCAGACTTCAGCCTGTAATTGACTGCAAAGGATTTGCAACCAAGTAATAAAAAGTGAACGTTTGATTTATGCTTATTATTCTGTCCCATATTACTTTTGGTCCCGTAACAAGTGGGAGGCACATATGCAAACTGTTGTAATTCCTACACCGTTCACTTGATTCGGATGTAAATACCCTCAAATTAAAGCTGGCAGTCTGCAGTTAAAGCAAATCTTGTTTGTTTCATTTCAAATCCATTGTGGTGGTGTATAGAGCCAAAAATGTTAGAATTGTGTCGATGTCCCGATATTTATGGACCTGACTGTATGTCAGTCAAGTAGTGGAAGCAAATCAGGCCCACTGACTGCTAAGTATATAAATTCTGTGAAAATATAAACATTGGAAACAATATTATGTATGCAAAACTTTAATTAATTGGTGACCATACAAAACATTGAAATAAAAAGTCATAATTAGAAAATATTTCATAATTCTAAGATATCATGAATATGCATTTATCAGATTACATGCATCCAGACTGTGAACTAGAAGGAGAGGCAGCATAGTGATGAGCTCATCTCTCAATCACTCTGCTTTCTCCCCCTATCTGCATGCTTCTTGCCAGTGCATGAACTGATTACCTCCTTGTGCTCTTTCTTCTTACACTTCAGCCCTGCTGTATAGGGATTGCTGATGTCAGGTCAACTTCAGGTACTTAAACTGTTTCCATTTATTGATGTATCAATAATTTGAGGGCTGCATTAACATGTGTCTTTTATATCTGTCTAGAGTTCAGCTTTAAAAATGTGTTTCTTTTTTCCAAAGCAGGTCATAAAATTGTTGTCATAAATCTGGAGGCTATAGTTCAAAACAATTGTCCCCGCATAGTGTTCACAGTGAGTAATGACCATAATAAATTCTGAATTAAAGGCCAATAGCCTGTGGATTTATTTTATGCAAATTAATTCAAAATGTTGGTGATTTTATATGGGAAAGAAGATATACAGTATAACAATAAATGAAAGGCAGTGTTTTATTTGCTGCATTCTCTTTTATTGCGCTGAAGACATCTACGATTGAGTGTGATATTACTTCTATTATAGAATAGTAAATGTATGCCTTTTTTCACTATGTATAATGGCCTATGAATGAGATAAAATATAAACTTGAAGTGAACATACCCAATTGTGTGCCTACAATGTGTAAGCATGTATGGCATATTAATATGTATATTAGGTTAATTGTTTGTACATTCCAAAGTAAGAGAATATAAGAATGCAGAAAACAATTCACTACTTTTGCATACACATGTGCACAAGGGAACATTGACCAAATGTTACAGTGTGACACCACTTGATAACAATATTTCAGTTTCAGTTTAAAAAAATATGATTACTTCGAGCTGAGTTGCTATAAAATTTAAATTAGCACTGAAGTCCTTGTTCTGTTAAACTGATCACCGGCTTTTTAAATTACGAGAACAGGTTATGCTACATATACTGCTTGGATTTTAGATAAGCCGAGTTTGCACATTATAATGCACTGTCAATGTCAGTATTCTAGAGTGTAGCCAATCAGATTAGACCAAGGGGCAATCCCTGCTTGAATGGTTGAGCCTGAATCATACTTTTCTCTAAAGATGGCCATACACTAGAACAGCTTTCTTTGAAATTTATCATATTAAGAACGATTGTTCAATTTTCTAGGAGCCAAATCAACTTTCGTTTTCGGCTGTAGTGCATGTGGTTTTTCATTTAACCACTTCCCGTCCAGCCCATGTACATAAACGGCCGGACAGGAGCAGTGCAGGAGCGGTTGGTCGTTTATAAACACCCCCCTCATTCACTGCCTGTGCGCGCTCCCTGGGACACAGAGGAACACTAATCACTGTACGGGACCTCTATGTGATCATGTGATTGGTCAATCAGTGATCACATGAATCGTAGTCAATCAGTGATCACATGAATAGCAAGATGTCACTTGCTGACATCATTGCTTACTACGTGTGAAATCTGTGAATGATCACAGAGGTCACATGGTACAAGGCTATTCACAACAGCCTTGCACCATGTGACAAGCTGTGACCAATCACAGCTCTCACAGTATTTCTCAATGGCTGAAATGGGTGTAAAAGCAATCAGTGTACAAAAAAAAAAACATCTTTATCACCCCCCACAAGTAGTACAGTGTCACAATGGTGACACTGTACTGCTAGGGTGACAGTATGTTAAAAAAAAAACATTAATAATATAAAAAAAATTAAATAAAAATTTAAAAACATTTTTGAAAACTTATAATTTTTGGTTATAAACTAATTTGGGTTATTTTTTTCACTAAAAAGATAGCTGAATACATTTTGGCCAAGATTTATGAAGAAAAATAATTTGTTTGCAAAATTTTATAAGAAAACTACTTTTATTTCAAAATGTTTGGACTTTTTTATTTATATAGCAAAACAATAAAAATCTCAGTGGTGAGTAAATACCACCAAAATAAAGTTTTATCTGTCTCAAAAAATGCTAACAAAATTCATATGGGTACAGTGTTGCATGACCGCGCAATTTTCATTCAAATTGTGATAGCATTGAAAGCTGAAAATTGGCCTGGACAGGAAGGGGGTGAAAGTGTCCGGACTTGAAGTGGTTAAAGTGGTTGTAAACCTCTGACATGAAATAAAAATAAAACATATCCCTCTATATTGTGTACCTGTCTCAATACAGAGCACTAAGGGGGGGATTTACTAAAACAGGAACACTCAGAATCCGGTGCAGCTGTGCACGGTAGCCAATCAGCTTCTAACTTTAGCTTGTTCAACTAAGCTTTGGCAATAAAACTGATTGGTTTCTATGCCCAGTTGCACCAGATTTTGCACCCTCCAGTTTTAATAAATAAACCCCTAAGTGTCATTTCTGTCCGCTTCCTCATTCCTCTGCTATCTACATGACTCATTGCTGACAAGTTTTCCTGGCAGCAAAAGGTAAAAAGGTGATGGGAGAGATCTACAACACACAACCTGTGATTGACAGCCTCAGCTGTGTTTCTGTGTGTGGTGTGAAGGGGGGGTGTCCCTTCCCTCCAATCAGCTCTCACTGAGCTCTGCAGATTGCAGCTCCTGGTCCCCTGCTTTCTAAAAGGTCAGACAAGCTGTGTAAATTCTGTACTTTAAACAAATGTAATGAAAAATGCAGATAAACAGATACAACTTATGTAGGAGGATTTGTTTTTTTCTGTGTATTACGTGAGGGCAGTCACCTCACTGGGTATATATGTTTACAACCACTTTAAGAAATTACATACACTCCATAATCGAATGTTAAAAGAAAATTAAAGTTTGAAGTACATCTGAACATTTGTTGAGTCATCGAATTTACTGAGAATTTTCATACAAATGTTCATACAAACATACGTATGAATGTTTATTTGAAAATCTGCTAGTGCATGGCCAGATTTAACTAGAAAACCTTTCTTGCCATGTCAGCCAATCTTTTGAAAGCAGTGATAAAGGAGTCAAAGAGTGCAAGCTATGCTCCACTCTTCTCCAGAAAGCTACTCAGACCTCAGGAGTATACTGTATATCTACCACCAGCAGGGGCGTCCCTACGGTTGGTGTCACCCGGTGTGGTAACACTTGGTGTCACCCCTCCGACGATCCCGGCAGGATGGATCAGATCTGCAGATTGAGCATAATGGAATGGAGTCTGATCCATTATGCTCCCCAATCCGCAGATCCGATCTATCCTGTGGGGATCATCGACTTGCAACCTATACGGGGTTAACTGATCCCTACACAAGCTCCACGAGGATGGATCAGATCTGCAGATTGAGCATAATGGAATGGAGTCTGATCCATTATGCTCCCCAATCCGCAGATCCGATCTAAAGGTTTTAAAGAAAGCCGTCAATCTCCGCAAGATAAATCGGATCTTCAGATTGGGGAGCATAATGGTCTGACTCCGATCCATTATGCTCAATCCGCAGATCTGATCCATCCTGCCGGGATCGTCGACTTGCTTTAAAACTTACCTTTCGTGGAGCGATCAGTTAACCCCGTATAGGTTGCAAGCCAATGATCTCCGCAGGATGGATCAGATCGGCGGATTGGGGAGCATAATGGATCGGACTCCAATCCATTATGCTCAATCCGCAGATCTGATCCATCCTGCGGGGATCGTTGGCTTGCTTTAAAACTTACCTTTCGTGGAGTGATCAGTTAACCCTGTATAGGTTGCAAGCCGATGATCTCTGCAGGATGGATCGGATCTGCGGATTGAGGAACATAATGGATCGGACTCCAATCCATTATGTTCAAGCTGCAGATCCGATCCATCCAGAGGGGATCGTCAGCTTGCTTTAAAACTTACCTTTTCGTGCAGCGGATCTGGTGTCACCCCATGCGATAGGTGTCACCTGTTGCGGCGCGCACACCCCGCACCTGCCTAGGGACACCACTGACCACCAGACCTATAAACTGAACCCTTTGTTATCATAACACTTTAATTCTCCCTATATATTAGGTAACGCAGAGGAAACAGAATTTTACATAAAGCTGACTATAAAGTAGTACAATTTTTTTTTTGATCATTCTCATCTTAGGAAATTTAATTTGATTTTATAATGGGTAGTGGGGTCAAATCGACAATCCTTTTTGATTGTAGCGACAAGAACATTTAAAAGAGCAGGATGGAAGTTTTTTTTCAAGCAAACAACATTCTCCCTGTGAATGAGGTTTACGTTTGTGAAAAATTGCACATATTGTAATGTATATCAATGCACAAAAGAAACCTGGACTGGGCTTCCATTCAAGTAGAAAGTCTGGATGAAATGTTAAGGGCTTTTAAGTGATATTAGTTGACTCAATGATGGTAAAATGGAATGCTGTGACAAACAATTTTTCTGAATTATTATTATTATACAGAATGTATATAGTGTCAACAGTTTACACAGTGCAATGTTCAAATGAAGTTCTGCTGGTATATGACCAGCTTTAAATGACACCAGACACAGCTCTAATGAAAAGTCTAATGTGAGATTATTTAATGACAGTTTACAGGGAAGTGGTATGCAGTGACCAATGGTGACCACTCAGGTATCACGTTCCAACATTTTAGACTGGGCAGTCAACTTGAAGCTGATTTGCTGCTATGCAGTATTACCATTCCCTTTTGTAATATATTATCACATAAAAATTAAAGTAAAGAATAATGGCGATCAAGTCCACCAAAGCTACCTTGAGGGGTCCCTGCCCACAAGGAGCTCACAGTCTAAGGTCCCTAACTCACATTCACACATACACATACTGGGGCCAATTTAGACAGGAGCCAACAAACCTACTGGCATGTCTGAGCAGTGTGGAAGAAACCGGAAGCACGGGGAGAACCCATGCAAACACAGGGAGAACCTGCAGGTAGTGTCTTGGTAGGGAACCAACAACCCTAGCGCTGCCAGGCAGAAATGCTACTCACTAAGTCACTGTGTTACCCCACTGTGTTAGATAAATGATAGATTTAATGTAATTATCTCCATGTATTAGACATTTTGCACCTTATTCCAAGTAATATTTTGCATAATGTAGTCAGCAGATACACAGTTCTGTGATACATATGTAATACTGTACATAGTAGCAATTAGTACAAAATAATATTGTACATAGTAGCAAGTGGCGAAAAGTGAATTCTAGTTGCTATAATTTACTATACTTTGTGCATACACAATAAACTTTGTGCTGCCTTAATTAACAACCTCTGTCAAGAGTCATGTCTTCCTTGTACATGGTGGGCTGTGAGACATTGTCTGCGGGGACAGCATAACTATGATCTTTTAAACTGCAAGATGTTTTTTCATGCCTTATTGTCATAATAAAGTACAAATGATTTAACTAATATGTGTTTGGAATTTCTGTGCCTTTAAAGTCCATTTGCAACATTTTCCCTGTTTCTTTCCCTTCAATTTTTGTCTGTCCTGAGAGATACATGGGGCTACCTTTGCTGGTCTCCCTAAAATACAGGTTGCCTGGCTGTGTACGAGTTTGGTATTCCAGAGACAAAACCTGAAACAAGTGTGCAGAAAATGCGTACCATAAAAAGAACTCTTTATCTGTGTACTTGCTCTGCAATAATGACTCAAACCAAGCAGCCACATGACAGCCAAGCAACCAGCATTTTCAGACAACAGGTTAGCAGTTGCAGCTGACATATTTATCTCATGACAAGTTTCTTTTAAACAAGTCAGACTGATTTTCCTTGTAGTGTTAGGTTTAGGGATGTTGTGGAAACTCACCGGTAAGCTCCTGGGGACAGCAGAGGAGCAGAGAAGAGGTTGCTAGCAGCAGCAGCTGCCCAATCCTTAGTGTCATCATATCATAGGCTCACACAGTACTCCTCCCAGTTCCTAAAATTCTTGGCTCAGGCAGATGTGTCTCCTTCTTCTCTTAGCACTTCTAACACAAGGCAAGAGCAGAAACCCCTTTTTTATCAGAAGCAAAGCGTCATTTTCCTGTGGGCAGCCCATTCATATAGAACTGCTTGGCAGGATGGTGTACACACACATTGTGACGGCCACTGGAGTGACTCATTGCCGAGATCTATGACTCCAGCTGCTAGCAGGCTCCTCTTTTGGCAATTTTCTGAATACTAGGAAAGTTCTAAAAATTTTAACCGCCCGCATGGCTTTTCTTTTTGTGTTTGACAAGTGAAAAAAGGCGGGCGGTGTCATGGTGTGACCTAAAATATGGGATAAGAGATAGCAAGGATGTATATGTATAAGCAGTTCTTCAGTGTCTTGTTGCACTAAGTTGTTGATATGTCAAAACACTCCATATGACAAAACAAATTTTAGCACAACATTTTTACTGGTTATGAAATCATTTCCTCATTTCATTGTGCATGGGTTGGCAGATTAAAATTACATACGGGTTTAAATAATATAAAAGTACAAGAATTCATACTTCAGCTTCAGCCATAAGGGGTTATTTACTAAAGGTGGAGAGTGCAAAATCTGGTGGAACTCTGCATAGAAACCAATCAGCTTCCAGGTTTTATTGCCAAAGCTTAATTGAACAAGCTGATGTTAGAAGCTGATCGGTTACTATACACAGCTGCAC